GAGAGCCCAGAGAAGCCCCTGCGAAAGCTGGCCATCAAGTTTCTGGGTGAGCCACAAGGCCGGGGTCCCTCCCCACCCCGCTGCAGCTCGGCCCCAGCCCCGGCTGCTGCAGCGGCAGCAGGATGCGGCCCAGGGCATGTGGAGCCCCGAGTGGCCCCGAGCGCCTGCTGCCGCCCTGTGCCAGCCCAGCCCTGGGCCGTCCCCATGCGGGAAGGCCCCGGGCTCAGCCCTGCCAGGGCAGGAGGCCGTGTGGCCGGGCTGGCAGCGCCGCTGCGGGGGACCTGTGCCTCTGGGGCCCTGACAGGCTCTGTGTTTCCAGGGATCGCCGCCAGGTCCATGAAGCAGGAGCAGCCAGAGCTGCAGCTCATCTGCCAGGGTGAGCGAGAGCACCTTCCAGCTGATCCCCTTGGGCCCTGCTCCCTCCTGGCCATGGCAAGAGCTGGCTGGGATGGCCCTGGCAGGAGGGGCTCCTCACGTCCCCACACCCCTGGCCTCTCACCTTGGCTCTCTTCCTTTCTCTTCCAGCCCTTCAAGACATGACTGATGACAGCCCTGCCGTCTCAAACCTGGCCCAGGAAACGCTCCACATCATCAGAGCTGTACGGAGAACTTCATTCTTCCCATTCTGGTAGTCTCCGTTGCTGCCTCTTCCAGCCCGTAGAAGTGTGACAGAAGACATCAGACTCGCCATGGCAGGCCTGGCAATTCAACACTGCTACGTGCCAAGAGCTGTCCAGATGGCTCCCTACTGCAGATTCCAGCAGCTCCAAGACTGGCTGTGCAGGGCGTGGAAGACCCGGCCTTTTCCGCAGGGCAGTGTCTGCCTGTGCTGCTGCAGCTCTGTGGAGAACTGATGCAGGAAGCTCCATCTCCTGGGGCCACCTGAGCCTGTGGGGAAGATGCCTCTTCCCTGCAAGCACCCCCTTTGAGCTCAGCATGGGAACATTACATCCATGTTATCACATACAGAAGCCCAGGAGGTTTTTTTGGTGCCCAGTGTGCACAGGGCCTTGGAGAAGAGGGGAAAAGGGCTCCTTGTGCTCAGCAACACTTGCCCCGCTGTGCAACGTGCCAGCAAAAGTGGGCAGAAGCCCCTTGGCCTTTGGTGGCTCTGCTGGAGCCTCAACGCTTGCAGCAGAGTGGAGGGGCAGAGGCTGGAGCTGTGGGGAACCCTGAGCACCTTGTCCTTGGAGATGGCCACAAGCCCTCCCCAGCCAGGAAGCAGCGTCTGTGTCCTGCCAGTGTGTCACTGGCTGGATTGCTCCGGGCTCCCAAGTGCCTCTGGAGCAGCTCCTCTGGAGCTCCTTCAGGGCTGCACCACTGCTGGGCAGGTTGGCGGGGCTGGGGGAGACCCGCAGGGGAGGGGGCGCTGGGAGGCCAGGAAGGGGTGAGGTGCTGTGGAGGCCCTGATGGGACAAGGGAGAGGGAAGCCTTGAAGGGAATCTGTGAGGGGGTGGGTGGCAGAAGGCTGTGAGGGGACAGACTGGGCGCAGGCCCCGAGCGGCAGGGTGGAGGGAAAAGCCCCCAGGACTTGGGGGGGCAGAGGCCATAAGCAGCCCCCAGGCAGCCACCTCCTTCCCTGCCAGCTGGCTGCTCTGGTGCTTTCCCGAGGCCTCTCCCAGCCCTGTGGCAGAAGCCCTGGAGGCCAGGCCTCAGCAGCAGGGTGGGCACACCCCCAAGGTGGCCAGGCTGGCCTGGCTGGGGACAAGGAGGGCAAGGGGGCCCTGCCGGGGCACGTCCGCCGGGTGCTGCCGGCGAGGGGCAGTGGCACAGGCAGGGCTGGCGGCCAGCCCGGGCCCCCACGGCTGCCCAGGCCACGGGGCTGTGGCCGACACCCCCCTGAGCCAGAGCTCTGGGCCCGCAGAGCTGCTGCCACCACGGGCAGGGCGCTGGGCTCCTCGGGCAGGGCTGCGCACTCGCTGCTGCCCAAGCGGCTCCGCGCCCCACAGACAACAGTACCAGAGGCTGCCCAGGAGCAGCAGCACCCACAACGCCTGGGCCTCCTCACCCAGGCACCCACACCCGCCAGGACACCAAAAGTGGGCAGACTGTGGGCACAGTTGCACCCGCTTTGGCAAAAGGCTTCAGGGCAAGTGGCCACCACAGCTTTCCAGTGACTCCCCAGCCTCACAGCAACCCTTGGCAGCTTCAGCTGCAGCCTGACATCCTGACTGACTTCAGTGGCCCTGCTTGAGGCTGGACACGCCTTCCACACTCAGGTGTCCCCAGCCAGCGCCACTGGTGCCATCCTTAGAGACTCTGCTGGGACACCAGCCTCAGGCTGCAGCTGCTCAACCTCTCCTCCACACAGGCACCTTCAAAACACGGGCATGGGCTTCTAAACTCTACGTCCAACACTTGAGGGCAACAAAGGAAGAAGCAGCAGAAGCTGAAGCAAAGCAGGGCCTCGTGTGGCAGAGCTTCACGGATGGAGGGAAGTAAGCACTGTGGTGTGTGCTGAAGAGATGGCCCAGTTCACCAGCTCACACTTTGCTGCTGGACATTCCTCCCTTGGTCCTGCTGGAGCCCATTCCCTACCAGTGCATGGCCCTGCCTTGTTCCCGGATCCAATCTCCGGGAGCCCTGGCAACAAGTGGGCCCTGTGTCCACCTGAGACCAGAAACTGCCAGAACGTCTCTGCTTCCAGCACTTCTCTTGGCTGCTCCTGCAGGCGGGTGGCACCTTCAGGGGAGACACAGAACAGCTTCTCATCCCAGACTTCTCCCTGTCCCCTGCACTTCCCCAATGGACTGGACATCAGCTGCTGGCCACAGCTGAGCACACAGACATTGGAGTGTTGAACATGCGAGACTGGGCTGATTTTTTTTTCCAGAAGGCAAGAAAACAAGCAAAAAGAACACAAAAATCTTGAGAGTCTCTCTGTCCAATCTAATTGTCCTGTGAAACTTGGCAGCTGATGGTGGTTTTGTGCTGCTGCTAATCACTTCCACCCAAAAATCATGCCAGGAAGGAGCAACAGCTTCTGCCTTCTGACAGATGCCAAGTCTTGCCACCAATTGCTCCAGGTGCCACTCCCAAAAGCCACCTGCAAGAGGGCAGAGCTCAGTGCCCCTTGGCTTTGGCTGCCCTCTGGCAGAGAAGTCCCCCAGGGGCACAGCTCTTTGGGGCAGGAGACGGGCAGCAGCCTTGCCAGGACATGGGGTGGTGGCAGGTCTCCTTGGGCCAGGACTTGCCAGAGGCTGTCCCTCAAGAATCCCGGGAGCAGGCAGGGAATGCTGAGCAGAGCAAGCCCTGCCCGGATGTCCCATCAGGAAGACACTGTTCTAGGGGGAATTCACTGGGTCTACCAACTCTTCCTGACTGGCTTAATGACTCAGCCATGGTGTGTCCTTGTCACTCAGATCCTTTCTTGGCCGCACCTGACGTTGTGATTCGTGTGACTGACAATACCTTTAACATCCCTGTAAATATTCCTTGTTATTTTAGTTGTATCACAGATCAAAACGTGTCTACCCTCCATTTATTATTAATAATTCCCATGGGCAGAAGAGCCAAACTGTGGCTCCCAGGGAAGCAGAAGCTGGGAGGATGAGGCAGGATACAGTGAATGAAGGAAACCGTGAAATGCAGAAATCCTCAGTGGATGGCTGATTGCTTGGATCATCTCTGCAGCAATCCCGGCAGCTGCCGCAGCCACGGCTCCTGCTGCACTGGCCATTCAGTGCAGGCCATGCCTGCAGGGCCAGTGTATGGGCACTGTGGCAGCACCAGGAGCAGGGGTTCAGAATCTGTCTGGTTTCAATATTCCAAGTCCTCTGGAAGCACATGGGACAAGCCCCAAGACAAGAAGCCCGGGTCCTGGCCCTCTTGGCCGTGAACTCTGCGTGTCCAAACAAAACAGGGGCAGAGGTGGGACCAAGCGGAGTCACTCTGCACCTGCCCTGAGTTCATGGGAATGCAAAGGGAAGATGGACCTTGGCTGAGTGCTTGGAGAGAGAGAAGGTTGTTTCTCCAAGTGGAAATGCACTTGAACCAGCCTGCATGACCAGCCTGTGTTTTTCTCTGGTGGCTGAACACAGCCAGCACATGAGGGGAGGGGAATGTGTGGGGTCAGGGCACTGCTTTGGGGCCATGCTGGGAATTCTGGTGGACTAAAAGACAAACACCAAGTGCTGCTCACAAGAGAAGAGGAATAAAAGGGGACACTGAAAAATGTTGACAGACAAGTCCTGCAATGGAACTCTGTGTCTGCAGCCTCATTTTCTCATTCAGCGACCACAGGAGAGGGGGTAAAAAGTGGGGGTTGGGACCCCAAAACTGTTTAGAGGGAAACTGGGGATTGATGGGAATATGGGAAAATGGGAGGAACAGGGAGAAGGGTGGAAAAGAGGAGGTGGTCTGGTGGGTCTGACAGTCCCATAGGGGTCTTTGGGCACAAGGGGGTTGGCAAAGGGGGGTGACCCCCCTGAGCTCCCAACTTCCTGTGGGGTGCTGGGGGCTGCTGGATCCAATCTCAGCCTTGGATCATGCCAACAGCTTCAGTTTAGAGGAATTAGAGAGGTGTGACTGAAACACTTTTGTCCCACATGTTTAATGATGGCAAATCAGATCTATTGATAGAAACGAATTTATTTAGGGTTACAAGTGATCACACAAAAGATCTTCATCAGAATTATTTACTGCACAATATACACACTAAAACTACCAGGAGTACAGGATAAGATAGGACAGTGCCCTACACTAAAGCAATTGTTGAAGCAATTCTACTCAAGCTGGCACAAAAGCAATAATTCTTAATTAGAGATGGATGGAACTCCCCCAGAGCAACGCTCGTGGGGAGATCTCTGCTCTCAACCTCCAGCAGTGACCTTGGAGGGGTCCCCAGCCAAGGCAGGAATCTCCACACACCCCCACACAGGAGGGGTTCTGTTGGAAGAAGCTGCCCCTGGGAAAGGGGACTGGCCCTTTGTGGTCAAAAGGGATGGACTGACAGTCACTGGACTCCAGGGGTTGCCTCACCATCAGGGGCTTCATTTGGGGTGGAAGCAGCGGCCGAAGCTCTTCCCGCAGTCGGGGCACTGGTGGGGCTTCCCTTACTGGTGGGTCCGTTGGTGTTTGGTCAAGGTAGAGCTGTGGGGGAAGGTCTTCCCACACTCCCCACACTTGTAGGGCCTCTCACCGGTGTGGATACGCCGGTGGGTGACAAGATGGGAGTTCTGGTTGAAGCCCTTCCCGCAGTCAGTGCAGCAGAAGGGCCTCTCATCCATGTGCGTCCGATGGTGCCTGTAGAGATTCCCGCTGGTTGGAAACCTCTTCCCACAATCCAGGCACTTGTAGGGCCGTTCCCTGGTGTGGATGCGATGGTGTTTGTGGAGGTTGGATCTCTGGCTGAAGCTCTTCCCACATTCCCTACACGTGTAAGGACATTCTCCAGTGTGGATGTGCTGGTGGGAACGAAGGTGAAAGCTCCGGTTGAAGCTCTTCCCACATTCCCCACACATGTAGGGCCGTTCCCCGGTATGGATACGCTGGTGGGTGCAGAGGTGGTAGCTCTGGCTGAACCTCTTCCCACATTCCTCACATGTGTAGGGACGTGCCCCAGTGTGCATGTCCTGGTGTCTGAGCAGGTTGAAGCTCCGACTGAAGCTCTTCCCACATTCCAAGCACTTGAAGGGCTTCTCCCTGCTGGGAGGCTGCTCAGGGACCACCAGGTCAGAGCTCCCCCTCAAGCTCTGGCCGCCTTCCCGGCACAGGCTGGCTCTTTCCTCCTCAGAGCACCCTGGGATGGCTTTGGAGCCCCTCCTGCGGGGGGATCTCCGGCCCTTTTCCTCCCCGCTGCCTTCCTGCGCCGGGGAGCCCTTCAAAACGGCCTCTCCCACCAGGGTCTCACGGGGGGATTTGTCCTCCGGGCTCTCCGTCCTCACCTCGGGGCCTGGGGCAGGAAGCAAGAAGGACAGGCAGGGGATTTGCCTCCGGCCCACAGGGAAGGCCAAGGACATCCCCCCAACTCCGGCCCCGGCAGGACGGCGGCGCCAGCGGGGTTGTCCTGCAGCCGGGGCCATGCTCGGCTGACAGAGCCAGCACAACACCCGCCCAAAGGGACACTGACTTCCTCCTCACCTGCCTGGGGGGACCAAGGCATCTTCCTCTTCCTCGCAGCCTCCTCCTCCATCCGCCCAAGTTTTGGGAAGGACAAATCCTGATGGGGGGAAAACAAGGGCTGAGTGAGTTGGCTTGGGGGTTCCTCCTGCCCAAGTCCATCTCTACAACTCACCGGGCATCCTGTGTTCATAAAACCCTCCAAAACACTAAGATTCAGCCTAAAGAAACCCAAACCACCAAGATTCAGGAAAAAAACCCATCAGAAATAGCAAGACGACTTTTACCCCCCCCAAACTGCAAAAAGTTGCAATTCAGGTAAAAAATATTCCAAAATATGAAGATTAGCCCAAAACATCTCTCCCAGAAGTTACCCCTCTCTGGTTTCCCCCTTATGGGGTACAGAGAGTCTCCCCTGCCTGGCATGCTGGTTGTTTTGGGGGTCCCAAGGGTCCCTTCTCCTCTGACTCGCTTTCAGGTGCCACATTCCCTGACATTGCCCCTCTCCAGATTCTCCACTCTGTTGTCCCAGGGATCCCAGGGGTCCCCACTGTTCAGGCTTCCCCTTCTCCATGCCCCCTATTTCAGGCTCCCGGGGGTCCCAGGGCTCCTCCCTCTCCGTGCTCCCCCCTCCAGGCTGCCGGGGGTCCCCCAGCTCTGCCATCGCCCCGCTCCGCCCTCCACACTCGGCATCTCCTGGGATCCACACCCACCCCCAGCACTCCCGGGGGCCCCAAACCCGCTGTGTCCCCCCCGCCGGCACCGGGCTGACAATGGAGCCGGCGGGGCCTGACCCAGAAACACCAACCCCCACCGTGGGGGGGACCCGCATCCCCCCACCCACCGCCGGGGCTCTGCCCCCAACCCAGCCCAGCACCCCCAAAAAACACCTCCCGCCAACCCGCAAGAACCTCCAGGGGTGGAGCAGGAACAGCAACAGCAGGAGAACAACAGTTCTCCCATCCCGCAGGTGCCCGGGAAGAGGGAACTCATCCCAAATACCATGGGGGAAGGGTAGGAGGTCATGACATATTTTAGCTGCAAGCACAGATTTCCCTGCACAATCTGCAGTGAGTCAAACTCTGGACAGGAGATTGTGTCCCATGAATGGGATTGCAGAGGTTCTCTCAGGTCCCCAGCATCAATCAGCAACCAGCAATATACACAAAAGGTCCCTCTGAAGATTTCTGGGGGAGTGTCCTGTAGGGAGGGGACAGTGTCACCCCACCAGGGCGGGGCTGGCAAGTGGGAGGCTGCTCCAGGGCTCTGCAAGAGGCCTCGTGCTCTGCTCAGCCCCAGCACTGGCTGGTACCAACACCCCCGGCTGCCCCCGGCCCTGGGCAGCTCTGCTGCCACAGGCTGTGCCCTCACCGTGGCCCTGCAATGGCCCTGCCTGTCCCTCACCCGGGGCCCTGCCCGTGGCCCTGTCCCTTGGCTCTCTCTCTGCCAGCTCAGTGTGGGGCACACGGGCTGGGGGTCCCTCCCAAGCCCCCCGGGCAGCCGGCGTGGGCTGGGGGGATGTGAGGGCTGGGCCTGCTCAGCACAGCCCCGGCCTCGTGCCCAGCGCCTCTTTCCTGACCCACACAAGAGCTTCCCGGCCCCCCCAGGGCTCCCCTGCTGCTGCCTCTGCTCCTGGCCCTGCCTTTGCTGCTCCCTTGGCTGGGGCAGCGGCTGCAGGGGGGGATGGCAGCAGCTTCAGCTCCACGGCACTTCCTGGGGGGAGCTCAGCCCGGGGGGAACGGGCAGGGACCTGATGGGGATGGACAGGGGCCCAGCAGGGACAGACAGGGCCTGCAGGGGAAGGCACAGGGACAACCTGGCCCCCCACACTGCCAGGGCTGTCTCTGCTCCTCCTTGCAGGCTCCGTGGCCAGGCACAGTTTGTGTTCCTGGGTGCCCACCATCTCAGCACTTGGAGACGCTCAAATCAGCGCCCGCAGCTCTGCAGCAAAGCCCCAGCTCACCTGGCACACAGGGGATGGACACAGCACCTGCTCGGGGATGGGGACTGACAGCTTTGCCTCCTACCCACCACGGGGCTCTCCTTCCTCAGCAGCACCTCTGCCTTGCACTTATTCTCAGCCTCACCTCAGGGACAGCTCTGGGCTCACCTCCGCGCCACTTCTCAGCCTCACCTCAGGGCCTGGGCTCAAGGACAGGAACCTGCAGGGAGGGGACATCAGGTGCAAGCTGAGGGCTGCCTGCTTGCACTGGCCTCTGGGCTTCTTTCTCCTTCTACAACCAGCCCACAACTCAGCCTGCTTTGCTAACACCACACATTTACACACTAACCTTGGAGATAGATATGGACAGACATCTCTATCACCCTGGGGATAGAGCCTCAAGCATGTGCTGCCACAGGAATGGGAATCAGAGAATCACAGAATCAGTCACGTTGGAAAAGACCTCCAAGATCATCAAGTCCAACCCTTGATCCAACCCTGCTGTGTTTCCCAGACCATGGCACTGAGGCCACATCCACTCTCACCTTCAACACCTCCAGGGATGCTGACTCCACCCCCTCCCTGCCCAGCCCATTCCAAGGCCTGATTACTCTCTCCACAAAAGACTGCTTCCTAATATCCAACCTAAACCTCCCCTGGCACAGCTCAAGACCCAGTCCTCTTGTCCTACTGCTGCTTCCTGGCAGAACAGCCCCACCCCCACCTGGCTCCAACCTCCTGGCAGGGACTTGCAGACAGTCAGGAGGTCTCCCCTGAGCCTCCTCTTCTCCAGCCTCAACACCCCCAGCTCCCTCAGCCTCTCCTCACACCACTTGGGCTCCACTCCCTTCCCCAGCCTCACTGCTCTTCTCTGCACCTGCTCCAGCCCCTCCAGGGCCTTCCTCAACTCAGGGGCCCAGAGCTGGACACAGCACTCCAGGGGTGGCCTCACCAGCGCTCACTCCAGCCCAACAATCACTTCCCTGCTCCTGCTGACACACTCTTCCTCACACAGGACACCAGCCATTGGCCCTCTTGGCAACCTGGCCACACTCTGCCTCCTCTTCAGCTTCCTGTCCATCCCCACTCCCAGCTCCCTTTCTGCCTGCCTGCTCTCCAGACACTCTGGCCCCAGCCCGGGGGGCTGACGGGGCTTCTTGTGCCCAAAGGGCAGGACCTGGCCCTTGGCCTGCTGGAACCTCATCCCCTTGCAATCAGCCCATGGATCCAGCTGGGCCAGGTCCCTCTGCAGAGCCCTCCTGCCTTCCAGCACATCAACACACCCCCAGCTTGGGGTCACCTGCACATTTGCTGATGAAATGCCTGGTTCTGCAGCAGCTGCAGATGCTCAAGGGGCAGCAGGACCAAGTCAGGGGCCTGGGGGGGCCTGTGGGGCTTTGGGGTCCAGGGGGGTCCTGGGGGAGCTGGGGAAGGGCTTTGGGGATTGGGGATACAGATCAGGACAGACCAGTACAGACCAGTACAGAGCAGTACCTCCTCACTGCTCCCCACATCTCTCCTGGAGCTGGGCCATGTTTTCATGGGACACCTGAGCCCCCCCAGTGCCCTCCCAGTACAGCCCAGTGCCCCCAGTACAGCCCACCGTGTTCCTGTCCCAGGTTGCCGTGTGATCCCTCTTGGGGGGGGTTGGAAGGGATTTGAGGGGGGAGCTGGGGGATATTTGAGGGGATCTGGGGGTTTTGGATGGGAATTTGGGGGTTTTGGGGGCCTTTGGGTGCATTTGGGGGAGTTAAAAGGCGTTTTGAGGCGTGAAAGGGATCTGTGGGGGGAGAGAATTAAAGGGAAAAGGGGGGTAAAGGGACATTTGAGGGGGTTAATGGGGCCTGGGGGGGAGAGGAGGGGCAGCACCACAAACAGGTGAGTCCTGAGACCCTCCTGCTGTTCCCACGACTCTCTTGGTGTTTCCAATTGCCCCTCTGACCCCCTGAGACCCCCCTGGCGTCTCCAATGTCCCCAGGGCCTCCCCATGGCCCCAATTTCCCCCGTGACACCCCCAATTCAACTGTCCCCAAACCCGTCCCCACTGTCCCCAAACCCCATCCCTGATGTCACCAACCCTCCATCTTACTCCAGGAGCCCCCTCTGACACCAGAAACGCCCCCCCCCCCACGCACACAGAAGGGCCAAGGGCATCTGGGGACACGTTGGGGACAGTTGGGGGGCTTTGCAGGGCCCTGGGTGATTACTGGGGGATACTGGGACACACTGGGGGGAACCAGAGGGCACTGGGAGGGACTTAGGGGTTACTGAGGGACTCTGGGAGGGCACTGGGTGGGACTGGGGAGTTACTGGGGGATTACCAGGACACACGGGGGGACACTGGTAGGTTACTGGGCCATACTGGGGGGTTACTGGGTGCTCACTGGAGCATCACTGGGCCATACTGGTGGGCAGTGGGAGGTCACTGGGACACATTGACTGGTCACTGAGCAGGTTACTTGGCCGTACTGAGGGTCACTGGGCTATACTGGGGGCACGAGGTTCCCCTTACCTGGATGTGGTACCCTCCAGACTTTGGGGGGCACCCCCAGGACTCCTCCTCTGGGGACTCCGAGATCCCCTGAACCCCACTACTGGGCTTTAGGGGACCCCCCGGTCCCCCCTCCCTGTGGAGTCTCTATGTGCTGAGTGTTGGGGGTCTCTGGG